TCGAGCATTCGGCGTTGAAATTGATCCAATGTTGGCCAATGGCATGAGGGGTTAAAAGGTCCCCGAGGCAATGTAGGCCACATGATGCTAGGTGGCGTGACCACGAACGATGCTTCCTGAGTGCAATAGCCAAGCAAGTTATCTCGGACTTGCTACCCTTAACGGTGAATAGAGGGTACCTCTGGAACCAGAACGACATACTAGTAGTCAAGAACTGAGACGGAGCTGGTGGTTGGATGCAGATGGATTCCACGGACAAGCGAGCCCACCAAACCCACATATAACGCCAAAAGGGGGGAGGTCCAGGCGTGGGACAGGTGTCCTCCAGTTGGGTTCATACAGCAGGGCATCCTATTTATCCTGTCGGGTGAAAGGTGCCAAACATTGGTGCCAATGATACTTGGGTATTGCTGTCCACAGCTCAGAGTCCAGGTAGTTTTGTACGAGAAGCTGTAGTCGAAGCACATGTTGGTATTGTACCGCAGAAGGGATGTGTGGAACACGCAATCCGGATGGGCCTACCACCCGCTGTGGATGAAATGCTCACCATGTCTCAATTTAAGGCCAAGTATGAACTTGAGTACCATGGACCGCCACCTGCCAAGTGTAACTTGGGTCACCGGTATCACTGCGGTGTAATATCACAACTGTGATAGGATCATCATGTTCACCAGGAGCCTACGGTCCTGCAGCGTACGAGCACGACAAACCCATTTCAGGAATGAGTTGAGGAGTGTGTCCACCATTTGGTGGACTTGGGTTTGGTCACTCAGATCACGACCGAAAATAATGCCCAAGTAACGAATGAGCACCTCAGATGGGACCACATTGAGCCGAGGGTGATGAGATACCATCATCTTTGAGTTCAGGGGCAGGGCCTTACATTTGCTTCTGTTGAGACGAGCGCGAGAGACAGTGCAGAAGTCATCGACCTGTCGTTCCGGGTCGTCCAGAGATGTGGAGATGAGAGTAGTATCATCGGCGAACAGGAGGGCCATCGCTGCTCTACCTGTCGCGTTGGAGTAGAAGAATCCATACTCCTCGTGGTTCCGCAGCATTTGGCTGAGTGGTTCGATCGTCAGAATGAACAGTATACACGAGAGGAGATCACCCTGCTTCACCCCCCTCGAAGGATAGATAGGGGGGCTCAAATCACCGTTGAGCAGAAGGAACACGATTGGTGTTCGGTAGAGGAGCTGGATCCACTGAATGAACCAGGGTCCAATGTTGAAAGCCTCTAAGGTGTAGGACATGAACTCCCAATTCACTTGATCGTAAGCCTTCTCAAAGTCGAGAAACATGGCATAAGTTAAGAAACATGGCATACGCCTCATCGTCCTCCAGGGTACATTGATGCTGGAGGTCCTTAAAGGAAAATGACATGGTCATGTATCCTCCACCCAGTCACAAAGCCGTCTGCACGAGTAGGGGTATGATCGTTCGGAGTCTGTGAGTCAGCACCCGAGAGAGCGCCTTAACCTCTCTACAGGTATGAGGGAGATGGGTCGGTAATGGCCGGGGTGGCTACGTTCCCCGCCCTTGAAAAGCAGTGTGGTCGGCTGGCGTAATGGGCTCATCTAATCCCGAGCGTTGTTCCTCCGTCAGACGTGTCTTCAGACACCGCAAAAAACTGCCTCCTTGCGGCGCGATTGGGGGTGCGAAGTCTCCCTCGCGCATGATGGAGGACCATCGCGTATGGATGGCCTGGTGGATGTCTTGTGGGTGAAAGGAAACACGACCATCGCCTGTGGTGACAGTGGCGATGGACACCTTGTCGACAGTCTCCTGTGGTCGTCGGAAGAAGTGCGATGTCGATACTTCAGAGTTGGATGTGTAGAAGCCGAAACTGACATCGTTTTGGTTCTGTCTCCATTTCAGATTAATCGGTTTGGTGCGTTCCAGGATCAGTTGATCTGCTCTCAATTCACCACGAGAAGCCTGCACCATAGCTGTGGCCCAATCCTGCTCCGCCCGTTGGACTGTTAAGCCCTTGTAGGCGATATGATGGGTGTGGTAGTGCTCGACGAAGTCTTTGGTTCGCTTCTTCCAGCCTGCCCAGACGACTCCGGGGTTGTGGGCATGTAGCAGGATAGGTACGAGAGCCCTGGCCTCTGATATGATCGCCGAAGTCACCTCGGGAATCTCCAGCATCCTTTTGGGGACACTCCAGACAACAGACGTGCAAGTTGGATGGAGCTTCCAATAGCCCCATCCAACTTGCACGTCTGTTGTCTGGAGTGTGACAGAGTGGCATATGTGCTCTGCAAAATGCTCGGAACGAAAGTACATTGCGTCCTTGTAGGTCGCATATATGGTGGGAGTATCGACAAATGTGTAATCAATGCGGTTGCGTCCATGGGGCGACGAGTATACCGTTCATGGGGGTGGTGGATGCGCCATGCATCTACGACCCGAAGGGATTGCAGCCAATCAATGCACTCGACTCGACCGCCGTGGTAGTTCGAGGCCTCGCCTTCATAGTCAAGGAGGCGGTCCATCGAAAGGTTGAAATTACCCATGATAAAGTGCTTGGCATGTGGGGGGAAGTTGCGAGGAAGAGAAGAGAAGTAATCCTCATGAATTCCGTTGGGGATGGGGGCATAATACGTTGTGAAAGTACACCGGCGTATCACCCCAGCGAGTATTTACCACCATGTATTTGTCTGGGACATCCAGGTGGGACTCGTGGTACAGGCGCTTGAAGAATGGATTCGATTTGTGATAGAACATCATGACCCCGCTGCTTCGGAGGGCTTCGGCCACCACCGCTGATTGCCCATGATAATTGATGGCGAGGAAGTAATTGCCCCGCCCAATTTCATGGTCGAGGTGAAGTCGAAAGATACCAGTTTGAAACTTAGTGGCCAGCTTGGTTTCCTGCAGGACCACAACCGTGTGCTCGGAAAGGAGTGTCTCAGCAAGCTTGTAGCCATTGGACTTCATGTTTATGTTGGTCGTGAGAATGGAGATTTGATGTGTGTCAGTCCCTGGGAAGGCTGGGGCATGTGGTGGTGGACAACGTCGATGGGGTTCGAATGCTCTAGGTGGACCGGCGCGAGGGTAAATGTGGGGAGGGGGGCTGTGCGACCACCATGGTTGATACACGAGGCGGTCCCGAAAGTGAAAGAAGGTGATTCACCCGGGACAAGGAGGAGCATCGAGTTCTCCGGGTATGAGAAGCCCGAGGAAATGATTGCCTCCAGTGTGCTGGCAATAAACTATGGTACCAGATTTGCATCACATTGATTGGAACAAAAACCACATTGATTCGAACTTTTGAGCTTGTCAAAATTTATATTTTATAGCCAAATCACATTGATTGGAAAAAAAGTTCAACTTGATCGGGTAATGGTGTAGTACAACGCACGCAGCACGACTTGCGTACTGCTACATACATAATACTATCAATGGCATTACCACTAGGACGCCTCACATTCACCATTGGTATGTGACCTGTACGATAGAGGAGGATTGATCAATTCGAGTCCAGCAATTTGTGATTTTCCTGAGATCTCATTGGATATGAAAATCGTAGGGCCAGCTCCCTACGATTTCGTCAAATCACAAATGGATTGCGAAATTTTATGTTTGCTACAAACTTGTATATAACTTGGAAAAAAATTGAGGTGGAGGATTTCAAAATGGCGAAATCGTAGGGGTGTGCGCCTACGATTGCATTCAAAAGTCACGTTCTGGCCTACGAATTCCGTAGAATGAAACTCAGGCAAAACTCGACCCATCAATGGTCGGTGACGTTATGAGTATTGTAGGTCACAGTCTGTGAGCATTTACATTTAAGGTAGGTAATATATCAATTGTTAACACTGTTTTGGTCGAATTTTGGCACACCGAAGTTGTATTGTTAAGCACCTCATCACACAAAATAGATACTGCTCAATGATTGGTTAACGTTTGCTTTTGCGGGAAAACAATGAACATGCGCACGATGTGGCTGTGTGTGTGGCAATGAATTTGGTGTCATTAACGTTTGACGATTGCGCCAGCTCACCCCAACAACATCAGGCCCATGGCGAAGTCAAGATGACACTACACCCAAGCAACGAAACGCCAAATGGTGACCGACCCTCGATGGGCCGAATAACCACTGATGATCTGACTTTTTCATCGAAGCAAAACATCAATCCGTTTTCATTGGGCCAAAATTGTACTTATACCTATATGAATGCATGAAAGGTATCTCAATACTCATGTTTAAAACTACTGATACCTGTTCAATTCCATAATCATGTATTTTACGACTAAACCAACGGCGCACTACAAATTTTGCTGTCTACCCCGCACAAGTTCGAGTACCTTTTCTGCCCATTTTTCGAACACCACAAACGACCCACGCATGGCCGCTGCCACAGTCCCTGGCAGTCACGACTCTCGTCTGCCCCTCTGCCCCCCAATCGTCCTGCCTGCCGTATGATGGGGATCCGGCTGTCAACGCTGCTCACGAGCCGTTTGTATCGCCGCCGACGCTGCTTGAGGCTAGTGGTGCTCGTCCAACTAATGCTTCCACGCTTGCGGGGGCTACAGGGCGTACGGCATCATTCAAGGTCAAGAAAGTCCTTACTCGGCCGTCAAACGCCATGGTGGAGAAACTCCTGGCTCTCGCTCAGGATGAAACCTGTGACTATGACTCTCTTCTGTGGGCCATTGACGAGGCCACACCATACAAGCAAAAGGTGGGTACGGCCACCTTCTGGGTCGAAACTGGTACATCTCTGGCCTCTTTCAAGTATGACCAGATAATCGCAGCTATTTTCGAGGACAATCAAGAAGTTGATAGAGCCACACACCTGGACAACTTCGTCGTGCTAAATCAGCCCTGTGGGGTGATATGGTGGTTACGGTGGCGTAAGAAGCCACCAAGTAGGCCATGATTGGGCAGACTATGCGTATCCTAGTCACGTCGTTCTCAGTGATTACCCCCTTACTTACTGGAGCAGGTGGGGCGAGCAGGGGCCTCGATATCCGGTTCTACGTGGACATCACCAACATCCGGTACAATTTCGACTCTGTCGATTTGATGAAAGTACTTCGTCGCCTTAAGACGTTGCCTCTGTTTCAGGGATTCAGATCGACGAACGCAGGCACGTCGTGCCACACGAATGCTTGGCGCATCTACTTTTGCACCGATGACATGCCGACGAACCTCATCATCAACAACCACCCTGTGGACCAATTACGGTTCCAGGGAGGGACATATGCGGTATATTCCAAACACTACACGCCGTCCCGTGTACCCAAAACAGGAGGGCGTTCGCACCACTGTCTCGACCTTGATAGTATGTTCGCCACTGAGCGTGATGAGCATGACCAGGCCAGTTCATTGAAACGTAAACTGAAGACAAACGAGGGAAACGCAAGCCGATCCCACCAGGCTGCTGACTAGGAGCCACAGATGTGGACTTGGGGATGGAATCCAATCCCCCCTGCCGAACCAACCCCTACAACGGATGGGCAGCATCCCAATCCCCTTGAGGACCCCGTCTTCAGCCTTCATGGAGGTGGAGGAATACACTACACCCAATCGAACAACGAAGCGTAAAGAGGGTGAGGCGACGTTCACTCTGGCGGATTGGGTTACTCCCATTTTCTTCGACGACCTTCACTCCATCCCTGACATTGCGAAGTGGCAAGTCGATAAATGGGGCTATACAAAGCCCATCACAACCTGCCGCGTGGCAGACCGTGGTGTGGATTGCTCCACCGTATCCGACTCTCTGGGTTAAGCGAATACACGTCAAAAACAAGCGATTGGAATGGCATCCCGACAACATGACCCTTAAACAGGTCATTTCTGCTCTCCAGGAGGCAGACCAGTCGGAAGTGAGTCCTGCATCACAACAGGTGCAGCGCCAGGAGCTAATTCAGGACATGACCCCCGAGTCGCTGACGCTTGCACACCGCGTCAAGCCTGAGGAACTTTGGTTGGGTCTCCACCGATCCCCGCTGCAGGGTAACGTTACGTTGTCCACCCTCTACTCTGACGACCGTGTGGGGTTCGACCAAACTGTGCGCTTGCATTCTTGGCATAGATAGATCGCCTCGTCCTTTCTTCCCCATAGCACAACCTTTCCACAAGGTTTTCGAACCATCTTCCATGATAAACCTTCTTGGGCATATATGCAGGCAACTTATTACCAAATCACGGCAGTTCACACCTCATCTGCATCCACTACCCAGCCCAAATATACCCTATACTAGTGCGAGGACAAAAAAACACCAGAATGGGGGGTAAACCGTGACCCCACAACGAGCAGATGCGAACCCCTTCCCCCACAAGCGCCAGCAAGTCCAACCCACGCTGCCCCCCTACACGAACACCCCCATAACGTTTTTGCGTACATCAAATGCCTGTTTTTACGTCTGTCTACGTTTACTGTCATGGTAGCGAGTGGTTATTCGGCCCATCGAGGGTCGGTCACCATTTGGCGTTTCGTTGCTTGGGTGTAGTGTCATCTTGACTTCGCCATGGGCCTGATGTTGTTGGGGTGAGCTGGCGCAATCGTCAAACGTTAATGACACCAAATTCATTGCCACACACACAGCCACATCGTGCGCATGTTCATTGTTTTCCCGCAAAAGCAAACGTTAACCAATCATTGAGCAGTATCTATTTTGTGTGATGAGGTGCTTAACAATACAACTTCGGTGTGCCAAAATTCGACCAAAACAGTGTTAACAATTGATATATTACCTACCTTAAATGTAAATGCTCACAGACTGTGACCTACAATACTCATAACGTCACCGACCATTGATGGGTCGAGTTTTGCCTGAGTTTCATTCTACGGAATTCGTAGGCCAGAACGTGACTTTTGAATGCAATCGTAGGCGCACACCCCTACGATTTCGCCATTTTGAAATCCTCCACCTCAATTTTTTTCCAAGTTATATACAAGTTTGTAGCAAACATAAAATTTCGCAATCCATTTGTGATTTGACGAAATCGTAGGGAGCTGGCCCTACGATTTTCATATCCAATGAGATCTCAGGAAAATCACAAATTGCTGGACTCGAATTGATCAATCCTCCTCTATCGTACAGGTCACATACCAATGGTGAATGTGAGGCGTCCTAGTGGTAATGCCATTGATAGTATTATGTATGTAGCAGTACGCAAGTCGTGCTGCGTGCGTTGTACTACACCATTACCCGATCAAGTTGAACTTTTTTTCCAATCAATGTGATTTGGCTATAAAATATAAATTTTGACAAGCTCAAAAGTTCG